TCACACACACACACACATATATATATATATTCTTTCTACTGGTTGTTTCTTTAGATAACCCTAATATATCTCCTGATAAGCTTTAAACTCATGTACTCTACATAGCATGATATTTTATTTTCAGACATCGCACTTACCGAAACACTTGTGCAAGCATATAACAATATGTGTTACTTAGTAGAAAAGAACATAAATATCTAAAATAGCAGAATGGTGATAAATCTATGATCAAGTTTTTTTTTTCAAGTTAAAATATTTCTGTCTCTGAACTTTTTTTTTTTTAATCATTTTAAACATTATAAGCCATAGGTATGGTGGCACATGCCTATAATCCTAGCACTTAAGAGATGAAAGCGGGAAGATCAGGAATTCAAGGTCACCTCTGGCTACATAGTGAGTTTAAGGCCAGACTGGTGTTCATAGGGCTCTGCCTCAAACAAACAAACATATCTTACTTGTCGAGAGGAGGGAGGGTTGGTAGTAGGGGTGGGGCAGACATAAAAGAATCTGGAGGGGCTATAATTAGAATGAATTATACATGTATGAAATTGTCAATGAACACACTGAATTATAAAAACGTAAAATATAGCCAGACGTGGTAGTGCACGCTTTTAATCCCAGCACGTGGGAGGCAGAGGCAGGTGGATCTCTGTGAGTTCAAGGCCAGCCTGGTCTACATAGTGAGTTCTAGGATAGCTGGGGCTACAGGGAGACCCTGTCTCAAAAAGACAAAAAAAAAAAAAGGTTATGCCTCAGTACTTTTAATTTTGGTACTACTGTAAATGGAATCTTTTCTTCCATCACATTTCCTAATGACTGTTGTTTCTACATAGAGAGAATACAACTTTTGAATATTAATTTTGTATCAAGGAAACTTTTGTGTTTACAGAAAGTTTTAGCAATTTACCTGGGTTTTCCAAACATATGACGACTTCATCTTCAAGTCATGTTTTTTTATTTTTTTTTTCACTTTTTCTTTCCTAATGATTATTTTTGTCTCTTACCTAAGTGTAAAATTCTATCCTTTTCTGGTCTTGACATTAATAGGAATTACAATTTTTCCTTATTAAGAATCATAAATGAGGGGG